CCCCCCCAGTATTGGCTACTTTAAGCCTTGAGGCTCAAGTTTGTGTGGAGGTAGGTGCGCTTACTGCTTTGTTAATATAGAAATAAAAGGGATGAGATGGGTCTGGGATAACCTGTTCCAGTGCAAAGCAAACTCAGCTCTGAGCCTGTGGCCCCTTTGTTGCTGTAGGGCTTCTGCAAGAGATGCCAAGAAACAGGTCTGTGCTCAGGGACATGTTTCTTCCATAAGCCCAAGTGGGGACAAATATGTTAGGGGTCTGCAAATAGGGCTGGGAGCTCCTGGATGGGGGTACTCGGTGCTGGGCAGAAAGCAGAGTCCTGAGAGCCCAGAGGAAAGTTACCTCCTGGAGACTTTCTCTTCCCAGCATCTACAGCTCCAGCTCTGCTCATGGGAAAGGCTTTGAGCCAGGTTGGCCCAAGGTCCATGGGCTGCTGGTGGCCCTGGGCAGAGCATCTGTGGGCTAATTACATTCAAAACCTCTTGGGCTAGGAGGAAACCATTAACGCTATGGATATAAAACATATTAAACTCTGACATGCTTGTTTGCCAAATGCAAATGAGGTCTCCTCTAACACAACTTCTTGTCTGGCCTCTTTTAGGAATGACCTTGAGGAGGAACCCAAGAGATGCAGCCGAGTGCAAAAATGAATCATTTGGGGAGGAAGAAAAGGCGAAGCTCTGACTGAAGGCACCAGCCCTGGTTGCGGGTGTTATGTCCTCTCGGCGGGGGGGGCCAGGCAGGGCAGCCGGCAGCAGGGGCTGATCGGTGCCAGGGGCTCGCATGGAGCATCTTCTCCCGTGGATGCTGTCCCCACCCGGCTGTCGCCTCATGCCCGGCTCCAGATGCACCCCGTGAGCCTTTCCTGCCTGGGTGGAAGCCGGTCCCACCAGCCAAAAATGAGACGCTTTCAAACCAGCTCGCTTCTGCTCTGCGTGGTGGCCGCCACCGCCATCCCCATCGTGCCCTGGAAGGTCAAATGCCCACCACAGTGCGTCTGCCAGATCAGGCCGTGGTACACCCCCCGCTCGGTGTACCGGGAGGCTGCCACGGTGGACTGCAATGACTTGTTCATCTCTGCCGTGCCGGAAGACCTGCCGGAGGGGACCCAGACCCTGCTCCTGCAAAGCAACAATATCGCCAGGCTTGAGCAGAGTGAGCTGGACTATCTCAGAAACCTCTCGGAGCTGGACCTGTCGCAGAACAGCTTTTCTGATGTCTGGGACTTTGGCCTGAAGAGCATGCCCCAGCTGCTGACTGCAATGACTTGTTCATCTCTGCCGTGCCGGAAGACCTGCCGGAGGGGACCCAGACCCTGCTCCTGCAAAGCAACAATATCGCCAGGCTTGAGCAGAGTGAGCTGGACTATCTCAGAAACCTCTCGGAGCTGGACCTGTCGCAGAACAGCTTTTCTGATGTCTGGGACTTTGGCCTGAAGAGCATGCCCCAGCTGCTCAGCCTACATCTGGAGGAGAACCAGTGCCCGATGGCAGCTTTCCCGGGCTGGGCAACCTGCAGGAGCTCTACCTGAACCACAACCAGCTCTGCAGGATCGCTCCCCGCGCCTTCTCTGGCCTCGGCAGCCTGCTGCGCCTCCACCTCAACTCCAACCTGCTGAGGACAGTTGACAGCCGCTGGTTCCAGATGCTCCCCAGCCTGGAGATCCTCATGATCGGAGGCAACAGGGTGGATGCGATCTTGGATATGAATTTCAGGCCCCTGTCGAACCTGCGGAGTTTGGTTTTGGCTGGGATGAACTTGAGGGAGATCTCGGACTATGCGCTGGAAGGGCTGCGGAGCCTGGAGAGCCTCTCTTTCTATGACAACAAGCTCGTGAATGTCCCCAAGCGGGCGCTGCAGCAAGTTCCTGGTCTCAAGTTCCTGGATCTGAACAAAAACCCATTGCAGAGGGTCAAGCAAAGCGACTTCACAAACATGCTGCACCTCAAAGAGCTGGGGCTCAACAACATGGAGGAGCTGGTGTCCATAGACCAGTTTGCCTTGATCAACCTCCCCGAGTTGACCAAGCTAGATGTGACCAACAACCCCAAGCTGTCCTTTATCCACCCCAATGCATTCCACCACCTTCCCCAACTGGAAACCCTCATGCTCAACAACAACGCCCTAAGTGCCTTGCATAAGCAGACGGTCGAGTCCCTGCCCAACCTGCAGGAGATCAGCATCCACAGCAACCCCATCCGCTGTGACTGCGTCATCCGCTGGGTCAACAGCACGGAAAACCACATCCGCTTCATTGAACCCCAGTCCACGCTGTGCGCTGAGCCCCCTGATCTCAAGAGGAGGCACATTCGGGATGTCCCCTTCCGGGAGATGACAGACCGGTGCCTGCCTCTCATCTCCACCAAGAGCTTGCCCTCCCACTTAGAGGTGGCAGATGGTGACAATGTCTCCTTGCACTGCCGAGCTCTGGCAGAACCAGACCCGGAGATCTACTGGGTCACCCCTTCGGGGATGAAGCTGATCCCCTACGTGGAAGATGGGCGATACAAGGTGCACCCTGAAGGGACGCTGGAGATTCATGGGATCTCGGCTCGGGAGGCTGGGCTGTACACCTGCGTGGCTCACAACCTCCTCGGGGCAGACACCAAGAGCGTCAGCATGATGGTCAACCACTCCTTCCCGCTCAGCGAGGACAGCCTGGAGCTGGTGGTGGCGGATGTCCAGACCTACCACATCCTGGTTGCCTGGAAGCCACATCTCAACACCATCTCCTCCAACCTCACCTGGTCCAGCTTCTTGCTTAGCTCCAACTTGGACATGACCAATGTGGCCCGGATCCCCATGGGGACCCACATGTACAACATCACCCGGCTCCACCAGGACACGGAATACTGGGCTTGCCTCCACGTGGCCTTTGTAGACTTGCAGGCCAAGGTGGCTTGTGTGAATGCCAGGACTAAAGAGGCTACCCACCGCTACCGGCTCCTGGAGGGCAGGCAGAGCCTCCTGATGGTGCTAGTCCTCTGTCTCCTGCTCCTTGCCGCCAGCCTCGTAGCTCGCTATGGCATCGGGGCAGAGCCCAGGAGGGCCAGGGAGCTGCTCCGGGGTGCCACGACTGTGCATGTGGTCTATCCCCCCCTCGCCCAGCCCTGGGCTCGGGGGCAGCGTGGGGGGCAGCTCCTGGCCGTGGAGGTGCAAGCAGCCCCCCTGGACTGCTGAAGGCTGACGCACTGGTGGGGCTGACTGTTGGGTGGTTTGGGGTGGGGAGGGAGAAACTATTTTTTACCAAAAAAAGAACTAAACTACAAAACTGAACAAAAGAAAAAAAAAAAAGGGAATTTCATGGACTTGACCAGGAGTCAAAGCGGCGGGGCAGGTGGAAAGGAGCGGAGCTGCCCACGGGGCTTGCAGAGCCTCTTCGTGGTCCTAGCAGGGTCTGGATCCATGTGTAGGGCCTGGATCTGTGCATGGCTCCCGAAAGCACCCGCTGGGCAGCCGGGAGGGCTCAGAGGGGCCCGAGCCCAAGGGGGACGATGCCTGGAGCGGTCGAAGAGCCATACAGATGATCAGCAGATCACCCTTCCCCACGACCCCCCGGCACCATGGGACACCCCAGCGGTGTCAGCTCCTTCGCTGGACAGTCCCTGTTTTGGAAATACAAAAAAGGCCTTTCCCTTTGGGATACATGTTCTGGGTTTGGGGTTTTTTCTTTTCTTCTTTTTTCTTTTTCTTTTTTTTTTTTTTGAGCACTCAGATAATCAGCCACAAACCCGCCCCCAGCACCTTCCCACTGCCCTGTCGTTTGCTCGCTGCCCTTGGCTGGAGGGAAGCAAAGGGGAGAGGAGGGGACTTTGGGGAAAAAGAAATAGAAATTATGATGGTGACACATCTCTTAATTGGCATCCTTGTGGGGCTGGCCGGCTTCTGCCAGAATTGATTGGATCCTGTATCCCACAAGCCTAATCTCAAGGCTATTTTGTAAACTTTTGTGGATAATGTTAAAAAAGAGGAAAGATGGAAAGAAAAGGGAGGGGAGGAAGTTCTTGTTTTTCTGTTTTTGTATAAAAAAGAAAAAAAGAAAAAAAAGGAAATCCTCTGTATACTGGTGTGCAGCTGGAGGGCTTCATGGTAGGAACCCCTGGCCTCAGCTGCAGGAGGGGCTGGGGGGGCTCTGGACAGTCCCTGCATGACAGCAGCCCCCGCCCGCAGCCTGTGCATCGCCGTGCATGCGGTGGGAGGTGAAGGGGGGGACGCAAAACCTGCTCTCCTGGGCTGTTGCTGCTGCTTTCTCTGATAAGCAATTAAAATTGCAAATGAAAGGGAGCGGTGGGCAGCACCAGTCCCCCCCCCGGGCTGTGCCAAACCAAGGGACGTGGCAAATCCAAATCAGTGAGGCTTGAGAGAGCCCTTCCCCTCCTGCTCCACAGGCACTGATGCTGCTGGCGATGTTCCCCTCCCCAGTTAACGTGAACAAGCCATCCCTTTGCTTGGGCCTAAACCTAAGCCCTGCTTGTTAGAGGTAAGGACTTTGGGTTTGATTTAACTGCAACCCTAAATAAAACCTGCCTTTACCAACACATGCAGCCCCAAGAGACCCCGGCGCAGCCTGTGATGTGGGCACGGGTGCATCCGGAGCCCGGCCAGCACCTCGCTTGGGGGTCCTTCCATGGGAAAGACCAAGAAAAAACATCCCAGCCAGACCTGGGGGGCTGATGGGGTGCAGGAACCCCAGGAGGTAGTGTCTCCATGCAGACACGGTGCCCTCTCGAGCAAAGCCGGTTGTGCCAGCGCAATCGCTGCGTGCACAGGGCTTTGAAGGCACCAGAAAACCTTGACACAGTAAAAAGCTCTTTGAACTTCTCATTCATCTTCCAGCCAAGGCGAGAAGATGGTTCCCCACTGGGTAAGCTCCATGCTCAGCCAGGCAAGCGAAACGGCTTCTGCGCCTTCGCTGGGTAATTATTTCGGAGGGTAATGGCTCTCCCCGGTCCCCGTTCAGCACACCATCGCTGCTCACCAAAGCACTGCAGCATGTGTTCAGGACCCAGCGAGATCGCCAGGGGCCCTAAGCACAAGCTGAAAGTTAAGTGCAGGATTAAATACTTTGCTGAATTAGAGTCATGATCCGCTTTGAATATTCGGCCCCCCCCTGCCCCGCCGGCTCCGCTCAGGTGTGGAACCGTCAGTGTTTGCAGACTCAGGGCCTGAAACAGCCTTTCTCCTCTGCCTTTTGTACAGCGGGGAAACTTAAATGCAAAATATGTTCCCTGTGGTTCAGCTAAATTGGTGCTGGAACATGTGGAAATAGTTGCTGAGAAATTTCCCCGGTGTAAACACGGTCCTGATTTAATCCTGCTCGTCCCTGCGACGCATGGGCTGAGCCCCAGGCAGCCGGGCAGCGCCTGCATCTCCCGGCCCCTCCACCATCCCACTCCCTGCAAAAAACACATCAGTTCCCAAACAAAGCAAGGACCGAGCCCCTTAAAGGCTGTAATTTTGTAGGTGTCGAGAAAAAGCCTCTTTGATCACGGTTATCGTGGCTGCCGCCGCCACGCTGGGACGGGAGGTGAAGGTTCAGCCGCTGCCTGAATTGTCTGCTCTCATCTAAAGGCAATGCCTGCAAACCAGAGATTAAAATGCAAGATACATGCAATTCATTTGATTTCCTTTGAAACCGGAGCAACCCGAGGAGCTCCGTGCAGTGCATTCGGGGAGCGGCACCCGCCACTGCAGGACTCGTTTCCCAG